GTGGTTGCTCTCGCCCATGGTGGTTGGAGGATGTGGCGGCTGAGCGGCAGCATTCCTCGGGGAAAGTGCCGTCCGACGTTTCTGTGTCTGTCCTCAGAGACTGGAAGCGCAAGGTTAATCACTAACCTTGGTGTCACTACAGAAGCTCCCACGCGGGAGTTTTTCTTTAAGCCACAGGGGGGCATCAGCGAGCAAAAAGCAGCTCTGCTGGAAATCCAAAACATTACACAACTCTTCAAGTTTCCCTTTGAGCAGATGAGAAAGATACATATCTCTGTTCTCATGCATTTGAAAAAACATTCACCTGAACTATATTTATGTAGTATTAAAATATCAGACGAAAGTGTCCATAACAGTTTTAACCTACATAGAATCAGGTGTGGAGCTATGGGGGGCCAGGAGTGGCCATGGCCACCCTTAGCCAATCATTGCCCCCCCCCCCCCCCCCCCCCCTAGTATTTTTTTCTCTCAAGTAGAATATTCAAAACATTGTAATTTTATATATATGAACAATTACTAATATACCAACATTAGAGATGCTTAGTACAGAATTCATGCTCTTTTCAGAACTAGATTTTCTGTTTTATGCCGTACAGAGAAAATGTGTCTGCAAGTCATCTAAGAGTCTTCAGTGAATTCATAGATACTGTAAATAACCATCCATCCATCCATTTTCTTACATGCGTATCCCAAGTGTAACCCAGCTGTCTACGGGCGAGAGGCGGGGTCCACCCTGGACAGGTCGCCAGTCCATAGCAGGGCAACACAGAGACAAACAGGACAAACAATCATTCACACACTCACTCACACCTAAGGGGACTTCAGAGAAGCCAATTAACCTAATTGTCATGTTTTTGGACTGTGGCAGGAAGCCGGAGTACCCAGAGAGAAACCACGCATGCTCAGGGAGAACATGCAAACTCCATGCAGAAAGACCCCGGGCCGGGAATCGAATCCAGAACCTTCTTGCTGCAAGGCAGCAGTGATACCCACTATTAATATTAATATAGAAATAACTATATTAATAAAAAACTATTAAATTATCAATTTATGTAGATATTAGCGCTTGTAAATATCAATTTAATGCAGAATGATATTCATAAAAGTAGGTAAGTAATGATGATGGAAAAGATTTATGCTCCAGAACTCAAACTTGAAAGAATTTTATTCAATATACCTTTTATCTAGACGGATGTTTAAATATATGCATCTATTTGTTAGCAAAGGCTGTAGGAAACTATAGTTTGTCTTTATTTAGAAATATGGACATTGTGCTTGTCCCTGTTGGAACAGTGTAGATTGACTCTGAGGTTCTGGTGCGTATCCCCTTTCAGCCACCCCTTAGTATACTTTGGTTATTGCCTGGCCACCCTTATAAAATAAAAAAATTTTGGCTACGCCTTTGGTTAAATCCTGCAACAATGCAAGATGATTATGCATTCCTTTTCATGTTATATCTTAAATTAGTAAAGGAGGATATGAATGTAGGATAAAACAATGACAACAGTAAGAAGAGTAGATTAAACATCCCATAATATTTTGTCATTTTGAGTGGTGGTTATAAAGTCTTACAGCTGGAAGGATCTGTTATAACGCTCCCTGATGCATTTAGGGTGCAGCAGTTTGTCACTGAAGGATCTCTCTAGTTCTGCAACAGCTTCATGCATGGGGTGGGAGACATAATCCAACAGAGATGTTATTTTAATTAGAATAATTTTGTTTCCTACCTCCTGCACTGAGTCCAGAAGGCATCCAATCACAGAGATGGCCTTCCTGATCAGATAATCTAGCTGCTTTCTCTCAGCTACAGATAAGCCACTGCTCCAACAGACAGATTCTTGGAAGATGGCTGATTCCACAACAAAGTCATAATAGGTGTTTCGGAGCGCATCCCTCCACTTCAAAAGACAAAAATCATAGTTCTAATAATTCTTAATGTGGCTTGTTGTATAAAAAAACCCATCTACATCAGAGCTCCTTATTATGAACTTTCTTGTGAGCGTTACTTAAAAGTATTTTGGGTCAAGTTACTGGAATACCAACTAACTTGTGCAAAGTGCATCTGAATGTATCTGATATGCATGAGAAAGGTGTTTTTTTCTGTAATTTTCATTCAGAGGCTCCATATTTTTTGGCACAATGTGTACTTGAACAAAAAAAAAAACTAAGAACCTATACTTTAACACTCTATGACCACATCATCCAACCCTGCATACTTTAATTAGTTCTTTTTTTTGTGTTATGAGAATTTAATTAAGGTTGGGAAACACAAACATTGACACAGTTTGAGATAACCCATAATTGTTTTACACTTTCTGTTGAAACATTATTAGCAGGTTAAGAATGTTCAATTTATGACTTTTTTCCAATGCAAATATCAATTAAATGTAAGACCTATATTAAATTAGAAAAAGATAAAGCAACTCATGTTGGCATCTCTGGGTCTGGGATCTGATCCTATCGGTTTTACATTTAAAAACCAATGGGATCAGAGTCTTACATTCAGCTGTAAGACTTTATAACCTCCACTGTTTCCGACAACTTAAAAAAGTTTTTACGTTCATGCTAATTTTGCACGGTTTCTATTCTTAGTCAGTTAATTAACATGCTGCTGTCATTTTAAACATCTCTGATGTTGCTTATATTTTCAAATATCCATTACTGTAAAAATTCCCATAGCTGCATATTGGTTATCTATTCTTAAGGTGCACAGGATTTATATTGTTAAAAAAAATGTACAGTATTTTGTTTGTTTTTATACTCTTCACTGTTATGTTATGCTTATACACTTTTCTAAGGTCCACGTTTGTGTGACCATTTTTTTTCCTATAATCTTTTTACTGCTGTAAACACCAGAATTTCCCTATTGTGGGACAATAAAGGGATTTTCTATAGTATTCTATTCTATTATCACCTTTTGCAATGTGGCCAGTGCAGTAGGCATTCTAATGGTTATTGGTTTTAGTCAACTATGGAAATCTGTGTTTTTTCTTCAGCAAGATCCAATTAAATACTTTCATGCAAGACTTTTCAGTGGATCAGGTCACTTGGTTGTTTTGATTTCCATTCCCAAAACAAACAACCCTAAGCCAGTTTTATGGGTGTAATTACAGCCTTGTTATTTACACAGAACCACAAAATAAATGGCTGCTCCCAGCACTTTTGTCTAAAAACAAACAAAGAAATGTAATTAGGATTTAAAAAGGTCAATGGAAAAGCCAAAAGATGTACATATTTAAAATGTGACTGAATGAAATATAAAACGTGGAATGAGCAATCTAGACTGAATACAGACTTAAAGGTTTTAAACATCACACAATAAATGCAGGATATTAAAAGACGGTAAACTCAAACCAATTATCTCAGTCAAACAATCTGTAGTAGTTTTCTCTGTTTTACTTATTGCAAACCTAAAATAAAATGGGGATTGTTGAAATTATAAGTGTTATACATGATCCTGTTATTTTCTTATTGAAAAATATGAATTCTCAAGCTTCAGACTAAACGTCTTAGTTACGCTGAAGATGCACTTAAATGTATCATATTTAGCAGCCATATTTATGTATAATATTCACAGTTAGTGCATATTATTAGCTAATTTTAAAGCATTTGATATGTAAGTTGTGTCATCTGCCCTTTTCTCATGAGTTATTAAAAAAAGTCCTTAATCCCAGAATAGAATACCCTTCAGCCTAGTTTCTATTTATTAGCTATCATAATTAATTTAAATATTGTATATCTAATGCTAAAATGTTCAATCTATTAAGGTCAAAGAGTTGTATTTTATCAGAAGTGGGGTTTTTTATTGCCATGACGAAGAAAGAGTAAAGCGTTAGGAAAAAACAACATTCCCACACAAGAGGTACCATGAAATATTTTCACAATGTGTGATTAATCAGATACTGGTGATCAAGCAAACAACATTTCTGATTTAGCATTTTATTTCTATGAGATATAAAATACAGTGAGCAAAGTTTTCTAACCTGATCACACTGACACGACAAAAATGTCTACAGTTATGCAGAAAAAGGATCATGATACGGCAATCTGGTTCTGCTCTACATTTAATTCTACAGGCTATCAAAAATAACACTGAGTCTGGAACCTCCTACGTACAAAACTAATATAAATTACACACACATTGTAAACACATAAATACTATATTTGGCAATTTGTTGTCTGGGATGTATTTTGTTATCTGTTCTGCTTCTTTTTGTATCGAATAGGAGCAGGGAGTGAAAGCACAGGTAGTGTGAGCATCACAGTGGTTAGCATTTAGCAGCAGAGAAAAGATAACAATGGTTTTTGCTGCTGGGGGAGAAAAGGGGCTAAGAGTTCAGTGAAAGAGAGGGCACTGGGTTACACAGTGGGAGGCTTCTGGTGTGTTATTCACTGTGAAACCAAAACTACAAGTTTATGCATCATACATGCAGAGTATATTTCACAAGAAGATGATTCTTCACAGTTTATTTTTTTCCTTCCAAGCATGAAATATTAATTGGGGATTTAGGGAGGATTAAGGAGTAACTACTAGACGAATTAAGTCATTTTTTCCTTGAAATGTAACAGTGTGGTATTAACCAATGGCATACCTTTTACAAAAATGTCTTAATACTGGAAAGTGTATCTGATGCTCTTGCAAAAGTCTGAAAATTATTCTTGTATTTTTTTTAGATTGTCTGTTTATTCAAGGTCTCCATCTGGACTGTCGATAGTGAGTCTATAGAGCTATTGTGTCACAGTGTGAGATTTAAATGGCTGTGATTCCTTATCAGAGCCTGCATGTTTTAATCTTCATCTAAGCATTAAGTAAGATAAGTCTACAAAACCTTGCAAAAGTATTCACACCCTTTGAATTTTTTTCCACACCTTTTTATCTAGGTTGTATTTCATAAAGAAAGTGGCACATAACTGGAAACTGAAAAATAAGGTCCAGTTTGTAGTTTTAACTACAGTAACATGTGGAATAAACATGTTTTCTAAATGCAACCTCAATGACTGGAGTTTTCAAAGACTGAAAAAAGTTCTGTGGGCTAAATAAACCCAAAACCTTCTGATCGAAATGCAAAATACCAACACTGCAAATCACCCTGAATGCTAAGTTAACACCTGGAAACGTTATGGAGATGCTTTTCTTAAGTAATGATAGGGAAGTTGATTAGATGGAGCTAAAAATAAGACAATCCTGTACAAAAAAAGAACCTGTGAGACTCTAAAACACATATGGAGAAGTTGAAGATATGTTATTACTTCACACAAAGAGTAAAGTGGGGTAAAAGTACATAAATCTGGTGACACAAATGATGGGAAAAACTTTAGATTTTGACCTCTAAAGAGCGTCTCAGCTCTCTTTTGTTTGTCTTAATTTGTGCTGCTGAAGTAAATCGTGACATCAGCTAAAGGTCAAAAATGTAATTTAGAAAAACACTGGATGTCATTTGGCAGAATTGGTGTTCTGAAATTAGAGTTTAAAAAGAATCAATGCAGACTGCATCAGTCTGTTCAGAACAGATGTAGAAAATAAAACTTTAAATGAATTTCTTTTTTCCTTTCACATCTCACATGCCAGCAGCAAGCATGGGCATTGATGCTGAAGTATATTTCCCTGAACTGGTTTGATAAAATAAAGGAAAAAAAATCAAAGTTATAAAACCTGTCACCCCATCGGTTAGAAGAAAACTTAAAACACAAAATTACAATAGAACGGGGTCTTAAAAATTAAGAAAAGTGGTAACTATATGGCTTTTTTTATTTGAAAAAAAGGAATTCCCAATTAGATAACAGTCTGACCTGGTTCTAAGGCCTCCTTGGTAAAACCTATAGTAGGACGCAATTCATGGATTTAAATTCGGACTTTTTACACCATCACTGAAAAGTAAAACTGAATTGAACTTAACACAAAGTGATTTTAGTCGCTCAGGTCGATCATGAGGTGCTCATAAATCTGAGTTTTCCCCTTGAAGCTGGACGCCAACAGGAACACCCGGTTGTCAACAGAGACCACAGAAAACCCCCGCGGTGCCTGAATACTCAGTTCCTGAGATGGGACAAACTGCCCCCTCTTAGTGTCCCATTGGTAGACCTGTGTCAGTGAAAAATCGCTGCCCAGGATGGCATACTGCCACTTGCCCACAGAGACAGGCTGGAACACCATAGAGCCACGGGAAGGGAATGCCTGCACTTCTTTGAACATGGCACCGTCCCAGCGCATCACCCTGGAGTCCCCGATGTATCTTGTCAAGCATATGAACAGCTCACCTTTGAAAAAGGACAAAGATCCAAGAGACTGTTTAGTTTAGACCTTAGGGAATTTAACATGGATGGGAAACGAAAAGCTCACAAAAGCAGTTTACGTAATTCCAAATCTCAAATAATTTACTGCTTGTGGCAACAGCAACTCAGGAAAGAAGCACAAATAGTTTAGCTGCCTCACAGGCAAGGACACAATGAAAGCAATGTTTCATAGTAGTGATAAATGAGCTGTTTTTATTGTGGTGGCATAAAACCACCTTGAAAAGAAAACCCGTACCTACTGTAAGATGAGAAACAAAGGTCTAATAAATAACATACATATAATGCTATAAAAATGTGTTTGCTGCCTTATGGCTTTCTGGTGTTACAGTGAAATGTTTCAGATCATCAAACATATTTTGAGAAAGGTCACTGGAGTAAAGACATATGTTCTGAAAGTATACTTTTTTTCAAAGGAGAAAAAGGCCCTTTAAAATAAAGGTGAATGGAAAAGTAACTGCCCCTAATATAATGAAAGGTTGTAGCATCTTTGACCATCTCTATTTCAATCAAGCTTTATTGAGAAATGGCTCTAAGTATTTTAGATCAATGTGAGGTGATTTGGACCCGTTCTTCACATCAGAGGATTTTCAAGCATTGCTACTGCATCTCAACTAAATTAATGTCCAGATCTTGACTAGGCCTCTCCCAAATATGTATTTATTTACTTTCATTATTCCTCATAATACAAATGCAGACTTGCACGTGTGCCTTTCATGATTGGTCACAAAGTGGTGGCAGGACTTTTTCTTTTCCTTCAGGATTTCCACATTTCATTGCTAGAAATGTGCTCTTAAAGAGATCTTATAGGCCTTGTAATGATCAGGACTACTGTGTTTAGTAAGTAGAAAATGGTTTATTTAACCTGGAGAGACTCATACAGAGAAAAGATGCAATTAGAAAATATTAAATTAATTTGTACAAGTAACATGAGCATAATCGTCAACATGTTTCTATCTAAGGGAACCCAGCTAATTTCATCGACTCATTGACTGTCTGCAATCCCCCGCACTGATTATGCATGTAGCGACAGTAGAGAGGAAAACTCCCTTTTAACAGGAAGAAACCTTTCAGCAGAACCAGGTTCAGTGTGAGTGGCCATAAGGCGAAGCCGACTGGGGTTCAAGGAGACGGAAGCAGATGAAGACATTAAAAAAAAATAAGTTATTTGGCGCTCGGGCCCCTACAGAAGACTTTGATGCTGTGAATCAACATATGCTTGGATTAGTAACCTAGAAAAAGATTAGCGTAGTCTTCCCCCAGGGCCCGGACACTGGTGGTGAAATAAGCCAGAGGATGAGTGGGACTGAGAATGAGGGAGGAGATGGGTGGAAGTTTGCTTGCAAGATGATTGGCTTCGGAGGAGGAGCGGCCCCCCGAGTTAATTGGCTGGGGCTGAATGAGGGACATTGCAGGTGGTTCAGGTGAAGCTCAAATGAGTCTTCAAGACTGAAATCACGCATAAGCTTCATTTACAGTAGTTTCTGTTTTAACAAGGGGGCTATTACATTTCTACAAAGAGCAAAAATAGTTTAGATATATATTTCTATTTAATTTGGATACCTTTCTTATTTTTAAATTAGGTTTGCTGATCTGAAACATTTAAAGAGTAAACAAAAAAAAGCAAAAACAGATTAAAGTCAATATTTGGAAACTCCTACTGAGACCAAATACACTTTTTTTTTCTCAAAATAAAGACCTTAACGATGCAGGGGAAAAAGATACATTTCTACATTAAAAGACTGAATTACGTGAACTGGACAACTGACAATCAAAATGGTTTAGACCTCAATGTTTTAGTTCTCACCTTTCACCCGAAAGTGTTTGATGGAGAATACATCCTCCATGTCTGGTATATCAGTCCTGCGGTCAAACTTCTTCTGGCTCCTGTTCCATTGGTACACAACAGGCCTCTGGGAGCTGCTGGACAAAATCAGGTGGGGTTTGTTGGAAATCTCCAGATATTCAACATCCGTATCCCTGTACCAGGGATGAAGCGCCTGGTGGGAATAGAAGCCAATGCCGTTCCATTTGTATACAGTTGTGGACCCAGCCTGCAAAAAACAGGAAAAGAATCAAACAGTTAATTTATAATTTATGACAAAATTTACATTTTAGAGTGTTGGACTTGATAAAGTAGCGTGTGTGTGTTCATGAGTGTCCCTGAGCATATGCCTAAGCATATGCAAACGTTTGGCAATGCAAGACAAATCAGCAGGAGCAGACATGAGCCAACACATTGCAGACAAGAGCATCAGGGGAGGAGCTGGCAAACATGGTGGTATTATTCATTCATAGTAAATAACAACACCTGCACAATGGTTAAGAATCAAATTCGGTAGCCCTGATGATTTTTTTTTTCCTTAAATAAAAACATGACTGAAACAGTAGAAAACGTGAAGAAGCAAAAAAATAAACCTCCCAACCTTGGAGCTGTCAGCAATGACAAAGAAAGATTCTCCATCAATCACAAACGTCTCGATGTCGTTAGGTTTGCGAATCCTCAAAATGTCAATATCTTGGATCTTGATGAACTTGTTTGCAGAGGAGTCACGTTTGTAAATGTGGGAGCCTCCAAACAGCTGGGCCACAATGATGAAGAGCTGGTTGTCAATCACCGCTGGCTTGCAGACAACAATAGAGGTGCCTCGGTAGGAAAGATACACAAATTGAATGATTAGAGCTATGTGCATAATGTTTGCAAACAAAGCAAGTACCAGAATACAACCATAAATAGTTGCCTCCTTAAATCAGATATAAAGACTGAGTACTTAGAAAGAACTAGTGCCATTCTGGAGTTTTTGGTTCTGTGTAAGTTTTCATTTTGGGTTCTAAGTTATGGTTTATTTTATGTCATTCTGTATTGTCATATAATGTTTTTCAATTCTTAGTTTTAATCTTCCTTTTTATGTCTTTTCAGCATTTTTGCAATCATTTGTTCCTTGGTCTAGTTTTAGTTAGTTAGTTATTGTCTTATCTTTAGGTTATATTTTCCAGTTCTCCAGTTATCTCCAGTCCCTTCTCTTATCATTCCCATTAGCCGTATTTAACTTCTTTTCTAATTACCCTTTGTTGCCCCCCAGTGTCCTTTTCCTTTTCCCTTGGCTTCTTTCTAGCTGCTTCTGTCCACACCTGCTCCCAATTAACTGATTACTCCACTCTTTGGGTGTGTCCGAATGTCTGCCCTAATCACTATATAGGGCACTATATAGTGGTTACGCAAATATTAGAGTATCCGAACGTCTATTTGATGTAAAAGCAGTGGACTCCAAATTTCCCTTGGCTCCTTTCTAGCTGCTTCTGTCCACACCTGCTCCCAATTAACTGATTACTCCACTCTTTGGGTGTGTCCGAATGTCTGCCCTAATCCCAAAATAGGGCACTATATAGTGGTTATGCCATTTTAGAGTGTCCAAACATCTAGTGGATGTAAAAGCAGTGGACTCCAAATTCCCCACAATGCACCTTGAAAAGCAGTGATCATCCATGGTTACTGGATGAGCAGATATATCCCTGCATGCTTTGCGCAGAGAGCTCTCCTCGCAAAGCATTATGGGATTTGCTGTCACAGCAGCCCGCTCTCACCGTATGCTGTTGCTACCTGTCAGCATCAACAAATAACAAAGATGGCGCAGCCAGGAAGCTGCGGAGGCGGAGTTACGTGACCAACGGGGAGAGAAAAGTAGGATTTAGGGGTTAGGGTAGACATTCAGACACAGCCTTTGTTCTGTCTCCCGTGTATACTCCTCCTCTGCAGTTCCTCAGTGCTGGATTCTCTTAATTTCTTCTTGTACATTTCTCCCATACTTCTCTAGTTTTTGGTTCCTGATGTCCTAGCCTGTTATTTCTGGATTTATGTAAAACCATATAATTATAACACCATATAATTCACCATTAAAACTGTAAAAACCATCTATGCCTTGTCTACTCTGCATTTTGGTCCACAACATCCACCAACCCTGACAGCCTTGAAATTAAAAGTACACATGAGGAAAGAGTTATGAGATGCAAAACACTGAGCCAAGCACTAGCAGAAATATGGCCTTAAAACAATCAATTTTTGCATCCAAATGAGTTGCTGACATCAAACGATGAAATATTTATATTAATCTCATTCATTTTCAATATCCAAGAAGTTAGAATGTTTTAGCTAAGTTTAAGTAGAACTCTTAGCTGCTGATTAAGGAGACGATACTTTTACTGTACAATTTGTAAACCTCTGGCTTTGTATAATCCTACTGCTCCTTTTTATATCAAATATTCACAGTTTGCAGTCTATAATAGTTTTTTTATACTCACTTTCAATTGTGTCATATGTTCTAAAGGTCATCTCAACATGATCCCATTCCAGGAAGTTGCATGTGCCAGCAAAGGGCTGTGCAAACACCACATACTGCTCATTGGCAAAGGTGAAGGCTTCAACTGAAATGGACTCAAACCTCAGCAGCTGATAGGAGGCAAACTCTGAGAAAACAAGATGCAGTATTGGACTTTGACCTTGATCTTGAAGTAATCCCTTCATATTCAATATCTAACATAAACATGCATAGGTGCAGCAGACATTACTGGTTAATATGCAGTGTGGAGCTGTTATTTGTGTGATGCAGGGACAGAGGGGACACACAAAGTGATACCTGTAGTGATGCAGTCAAATGACTGTGGCTGCAGGTCATTGATTTTCTTCCCATGGTGAATGGGTGGCCCACTGCAGTAGATCTGGTCCAGAGTTGCGTTGGTGTTATGCATCCACTCCACCAGCCACTTGAGCTGGCAGTCACAAACCAGATTATTCCCTCGTAGATCCCTGCATGTGAGAAAAAATCCCATCCAGGCATATTGTAAATGATTTTCATCTTTAAAATATAAATATTCAGAGTTTTTTGGCTAATGTTTTAACGATGAAGTCCCTCCATGATTTTTTCTGGGTTCAAGCCAACTAGCGCCCCATCCACTGAGTGCTCTCTCCTCCTCACACACTCCATCTGAGTAGTCATTGACCTTGAATTCTTAGACTGAATCCATGCATGCTCACATCATTCTGCTTGGTTTTGACAGTGCAGCCATAATAAGATCCGAGTTAGTTTTTTTCTGAGTGACTTACAACCTTTTTGCTGAAACATTTTGGGAATCTGACATTTCCTTTTCTTTTTTGACCTTTAGACTACACTGCTTTTTATTTTTCGTCTTAACTGCATAAAAGTGTTCTACGCATCACCTTCCTTCTTTTCTCCAGTTTGACCTCAGGAGAAGCAGAGGGAGAACGATTTCACTGACTTATTGCATTAAATGAGTCATGAGTCAAAGGACTTTACAAACACATTTTTTTTTTTTGCTTTTCCTGATTTTTATCCCATGCAGGCATGCAAAGCAAAAACCCTCTGTCCACTTTATATCCTTCCATATATTGTTTTAAACATTGCAAGTCAAGAGCTGGTGCCTGTCTCCAACAAGAACTGTGGCATAAAATAAAAACCATTAACTCACACTTTGGTCAAAGCATCCATACCCTTGAAGACATCTTTGGGCAGTGTTTCCAGGTTGTTGTAAGCCAGACTCCTAATCAACAAAAAGGAACAAAAAAGATTATTTAAGATACTCTTTAAATCTGCAGACATCATTCTATGTAATCAATAGTGTCCAGAAAAATAAATTTCCCATTTTTTACCTCCAGACAGAGCTCTGCAAAACACACATATACTATATTCTGCACATATTAACTTAGATATCCAAAGAGTGTACAGGTCTAAGGACAAACATTTTAAAAAAATAGGCCCCACCAAGAGTCAAAGACATAAACATAAACATTTCACTGCTTACAATTAAGGTAGCATCAGGTAAGCCTTCCTCTGCAGAGTCTCTCAACTAAAAGCTCAGCTGAACTTCGAAACAGCCAAACAGACAGAGATAAAAGCTGCATTATTCAGTAGAGAGTTTGTCATTCTGAGAACAAAGACCATTTTCTTCTTCTTTTTTTTCTTTTTTTTAACAAGAATGCACTCTCCAAACAGAGGGATTTGAAGCTGGCTTTACTGCCTCTGCCCTTCAATGATGTATTTAGTGTGTGGGAAGCAGTTTAAATTCCCACACATTCTGAATGTATTCATGGTTCTTTAAAAAAAAGAAAAAAAAAAGAAAAACTCCATAAACAGTCTTGATAAATAAGAGGTGCAAATTCTCAGTTGTACAGGTTTCCTTATAAATAAGGACACAACAAATCTGAGAGGTCTAAAACTATAATTAAACAATCTCAACTAAACAACACCATGTTTTGTAAGTATTTTTAGTATTGATTTAGGATACAATATATGTGTAATTTATCCTATGTCATTTAGCCTATAAACATAAAACAATAAGAATCAAACACGTGATAAACTAAGGACACCTATAGTGCCTTTGCATGACAGGATAAAGAAATTATTGGAGCTTGGTAATGCTAATTAAATGCATTTGATGAACTGAGCATTTGGTTATGGACATTAACACCCAGATAGGAATACATCAACACAATTAGAAAAGCAAATGATGGTGTTTTTCATGATGCCATTCAGGAGTAGGTTCCAATATGCTTGATATGGTTTATCACCCAGGGTGCTATCAGAATAGACACACATGCTGAGAAAAAGGTTTTCTATCTATTGCAAGTTTATGATTTGCAGTTATGACTTGTCCAATCAGGAATTCGATCATCCTCTATAAAAAGTTCTTTGCCAGATAAAAAAAAAAAAAGTTTTAAAAAGATAAATTATTTAATATAGGAACATAAATGGATTAACAATTTCTGTTACTGTACTACAAAGGATGGCATGATTAGTAACAAATATCGTTGGATTCAAACCAGGGTTGATATTGTTAACTAAAACTAACAAAATTATGAAAACTAGAATTTAAAAAACTTTTTTTTTTTAACTGAAGTAAAAATAAAAATTGGACCTTGGAGAAAAAATAAAACTAAACTTACATTTTCAAAACTAATTAGGTGAGAGGTGGGGTAGCCCCTGACAGGTTGTCGCAGGGCAAAACAGAGACAAACGAAGACACACATGCACACACACACTCACAGCTAAGGACAATGTAGAGAAGCCAATTAATCTAATAGTCATGTTTTGGACTGTGGAAGGAAGCTGAAGTACCCGGAGAGAACCTATGTATCATGGGGAAAACATGCAGAAAGACACCGGGCCAGGAATCAAACCCAGAACCTTCTTGCTGCACGGCAGCAGTGCTACCCACTGCCTCAATATGAGGTCTAGTTTCCATTTGCTGTTCTAGCTTCTTTTCACTTAACTGCTTTACCCCAGCAGATGGCAGATAAGGCAGGCAGGGGTCCATTTCACACAGCAGATTTAACATACTCAGACTCAACTCTCAATTGATCTAGCCTAAGGTTGGAACTACAGCTGCCCTACAGGCTGCTAACCCTATAGTTGCAAAGGAGAGGAAGATAGTGAAGGAGAAGATTGCTGCTCGAGTTAGTGCGTACATTTTTATGCAGTCTGCTATGGCAGGCTGTTTTTCCTGTTCCTAATTACATTCCTAGTTGGAACTGTAACAGCAGATTTTCTAAATTAAATTTTTGCTACAGAAACTGAATTTCAAAAAGTAAAAACACTAAACTGTACAAGCAAAAATGAAGTTTTATATACATAGAAAGTGGCCATTATGACATTTATCAGCTTGACTGAATATGTATTTATAACATCTGGAAAACATTTCTTCACCGTCAAAATAATACAATTGATGACCAGCAATAATAGGAATATGGAGATCTGATATTCATTTATAGACATCCATTGTCATTTTGACAAGGACAAAATGCTTTATTTTCCAGATATCAGGAATACATATTCAGTCACACTAATACATATTAAAAAGGCCTGCCATAGCCTGCTGTAAGCACAATAACATAATGGAGGAAACTAGTTTACCGCATAATGGTAGTGGATCAACATATTCTATTTAGGTGAAATCATCTGGAAGCAGGTGAGGATGAAGCATAAAAACATTGTTCTAATTGATAGGACCTGTGCATCATCTTACGGGGTTCCTCCTTATTTTGATTCTGATTTCCTTTACACAGTAAATTCTATGTGGCTGTTTGCAGCCGCTTCGGATGTTATCGTCCCAATAAACGGCCGTTATTAATGGTTATCAGTCCCAGTTCTCAATGAATCCCAACCCTGCAATGAATCCCTAACTCAATGAATTGCAACCCTGTAATTCACTTTCACCGCATAATTAATTATTCTATTCATGTAATATAAAAAAAAATATTATGTGCGTGTCGCTCATATTAAACAAACCAAAACCAAATTAACCCTTATAAACTGTCAACTGAGTTGTAGAACCCTCTCCCTATGTAGCGGAGACAGAGGACACTCTGAATTTACTGAACAAAACCTGCTTCCAACCAGATTAGCTCTGGGGAGACTGTTACCAAGGCAACAGAAACAGAGGTTGAGGAAACTCTCTTTGTGAAGCAGAAAACTCAGAGTTTCCTTGATTTCAGGTTTAAAAAGCTTTTTAAAACAGACCCCGGGCCATCTGTATTGTTGCTGAGGTCTGTCCTTATCTAAGATTTTATTTCTACTTTCTTTTATGTGTGTGTGTCCCTGTGTCTTGCCACCTGTATGTTAGCTGTATTACAAAAAAATGTCAACTATAACTAAAACTAATAAAAACTAAACTGAAGTTAATCATTTTTTAAAACTAAAACTAAACTAACTTGCAAATATTAAAAACAAATTAAAACTAAAATAGAATTAAAAATCTGAAATCAAAGCTAAATATGATACAAACTAAGGATAAATTAAAAAAACTATATAAACCTTGGTCAAAAGTAATTTTCTGAGACAGAAATCTCGTGTTTCTAGATGTTGATTTCGGATCAAACCACTTATAAAATATCTTAGAAACCACTGTTGTCCATAACAAATACATCATTCATACATTTTTTCTTAAATAGATTTTTAAAAAAGGTCCTCAGAAGCCAACTATGATGTTTTACCAAATAACCAAGACAGTTGTTTAGGTATTTTTGACTGTGGGTTGTTGCAAAATCTGACCAGAGCAACCTTGCAAAGAGTCAGATAGAGATTATAGGTCATATGTTTTAGGTTACAGTACAGTTATATTTAGATTTGACCAGTAGGTCACTCATTTCCCAAGCTTGTTTCCTCAGTTAGTTTCCTTAGTCTGCAAAAATAAATGACACATAACTGTTTATTTTATTTAACTGATCACCATTCTAATAACTGTTAATTATAATGTTTACATCTATAATAACAATTCATAAACATCTATAACTTACTGTAAGAATACAAATACACAGAATTATTAATATTTTTTGTCCAAAATCCCCGGCAGAAAAACAAAATAAAAACATCCAACTCTCATCTTGTGCAACCTGATATTGCTGACATGTTCAGACAGTCACCTTGTGAGCTAACCACTGCCAGCAGCAGTTCCTCCTGCCTTTGCATTCCAGATACTGACAGACTGATATAGCAGCAGAAAACCAGACACTGATGTGCAGTATATTTTAGAACAAGGAAAATTCTGATATTGTTGTGAAATACCCATCAGGCTGCTTTCAAACAATTAGGCCCACAGAAAATCATTGAAAACTTCCTGCATAGACGTCTAACTTCTGGGAAGAAGGCAATTAATTAGAACAAATGGTGAGGAAGGAAAGAAACACAGAAAAAAGAAGGGAGTTTAAAAAGAAAAGCTTGGGATGTAAAAAAAAAAAAAAAAAAAAAAAAAAACAGGGAGAAAAGGGAAAGTCATATAGGATAAAAAACATTAAATACTTACAAATGCAACAGTGACTTTAGACCCCGGAAAGCAAATGGAGATATTGATGCAATTCTGTTGTTTTCAATGAATCTGTAAAAAAAAAAAAATCACAAAAAAAAAACTTAAATATAAAGAACTTAACAATTTATACATTTTACTATTAAAACTGAACACTTCTTAGGAAATAAGCAAGTATGTGTTTGCAAATCTTGAGCCTGGTAGTGTAATTCCAAACACAACTTCAGTATGACCTTAACAAAGCAGTGCATAATTGCATCATGAACATTTGTGTGGTTTTCAAATTTTTTTTAAATAAATATATAGAAGGGTCGCATGAATTTAACAACATATTGTTCTCAGGTCCTGCTGAGGAAAAGCATCCTACATCCGGATTGTACCAACAAACTATTCATGATGACCTGAACAGAAAATTTCCTTTATAATTTTGGCCAGGAAGTTGAAGTTTCAATTGGATTGAATAAAGAGGTCTACTATGTATTCTTATCCAAACATGATCTCTAACCATCTCTTTTTCTTTTTTGAGGTTTTTACAGCACTAATGGCTCTCTCTTTTTTTCTTTCTTTCGTTTTTTTACAGTGGACCGACAGGAAAAGGGTTACAACAGAGGGGGAGAGACATGCAGTAAAGGTCCACACGTTGGGTCGGTCGCGTCAGGAACTAACTTGTGCACGCTAACCACTGCACCACTGAAGCACGCCCCTGTGTCGATCTCTAAACAGCTTTCATCAATTGCTCTCTTCTTTCCACACTTCTTTTAAGGCTAGGTTCTTTGACTGATCTTCGCTTTGGATCATTGCAGGTTCACTGGCTACTATGGCTTCATGGCTGCTTCTCTGATTAATCACCTCCTCACCCTACTTTTGAGAGCAGGTTGTGATGCCTTTGCAGGGTTGAAGGTGATGAATTGAACAGTGTTCTATGAATTTTAAAGCTTTATAATATAATTTCATCGTCTAAGAGTGACATGGGCAGGAGTAGCATATGATAGTGAATCAAATGCCTATGCAAGCCACATTTTTCAGATCTTTATTTCTAAACATAACTGTGACAATTATGTATCATGTTCTTTCCATCATACAAAATTAAACGTAGTTTGCAATTTTATATCATTATTTACATCATTATATTTGATATTAAACATTTTATACAAACTCTGAATTTTCTGGTTGTGACATAACACAAATATTCCTTCAAGTTTAAGGAGTATTTTAAAAACAAATGGAAAAAAACAGATATGTTATTGTATATGGATCTAAATAAATGTTTTATTTCAATCTTATAAGGAAGAAACAGAATACTTACAGGTATTCAAGATGTGGTAGACCCACAAAAGCATCTTCATCGATCAAGTCAAATGAATTTGCTGTGAACAATCTGTGAAGGAAAACAGCTGCAATGATGAGAAAACAAGAAGCACCTCTATCCTTCTACTCAGCAATCAACTCTTTTTGTCTAAATTTCTTTTGCTT